TGCCATTGGTCCAATATGTGCCTAATACACACATACTTGACAATTTAAACTTAGGGAACGTATTATTACATTATTCATGCCACAGGTTTAAAACTACTTAAACAATGGATTTATAAATGATATATTTATTATATTATTTAAAGCAACCAATGTTTAAACAAATCGGTAAAAATTAACCATAAATTATCCATAGGTGCAATATTATAACAATTGTAAAGGGTTAGGTTAGGTTTTAAATGTATACATATAGGAACCTATGTATGAATAACCTTGTAATATAACTTCAAGACTTTAAAAAGTTATAAATGTTATGATTTGATAAATTCCATCCATAAAAAGTAATAACTGAGGATGTAAATATTTATGAACTCGTTAATATTCAGTCAAAATTCTATGAAAATGTTACTTACAAGTCAGGAGTCAGGACTCAAGAATTAAAATTAAATTATGTAATCACTAATCAGCAGCAAATTTAGATTCATAGAGGCATAGATGTGCTACATCTGTGTGAACTTGGTCAAATTCGTAAAAATTAAAAATGTATCATCGAACATTGCAGTATTATTTAGATTATAATTGCATTGAAAAAAGTGATGCAACGATTGCCGTCATCGACATCATACAGTACTCCTACGTTGAGCACGGCTACGGGCTAATATGCTGAATGTTAGTAATGGAAAATGTGCATATCTATATGTATACAATATATATTATGTATTAGCATATATCGGTTATTAGCACGCGTCGTGTTCATAACCGTCCGGAACTCCGGGCTGTCGATGGTCGAGAGTGGAAGTCGAGGGCTAACAACAACCCGAAGAAGACCCGTGGACGACCAATCAACCCACATTTGGATACTGGCACCCGCGACACACCATGACCCGATCGGTAACCCTCAGTTATAGTTAATAAATACGCCTAATGCTTAAATATGGATACATTACATATTTTATACATTAATATTTATTATACATATATGTTGTGTACTTAGCTTCGCATAAGATAACCCTGATCCCTAAAAATATTATCACACACCGAGGTCGAGTCCCCGAGACTCCTAAAAATAAACATGTGTCGGTGTATAGTCATTTTAGCTATACTAATTATACATGTATACTATAAGTATTAATATTATAAATTATGAATAAAAAAAAAATAATAATACAAACAATATTAATCCATACAGTTTTTTTTATTAACATTGTAATCATATATTATTACACTTTAGAACAGAAAAAAAAATTATAATATAATCAATAACGATCTATACAATTTTCTTTATTTTCATTCTATATTTTTAGCTTCTAGCGTTTGACTTTCGGCCACAATCGTTAGAAGAAACCGGACAAATATTTAAGGGGAGGCACGTTGGTGCGTTCAAATCGGCGAATGTCCATGGTCTCAGACATATGTTGTACCAAGGAAAAAATAGAAGATTTGCGGAGACCGTCAGACCAGGATGTCGGCGGTGACCGAGCCTCCAGGGTGGTTCTCGTTGGGCCACGACGACACGACACAGTGCACTACAACTCATGGCCGACTGCGATTCAGCCGGCAGCACTCTCGACGGAGCAAGAGGATGTTTGTGCTCGACGACGATTATGGCACGCAGCGGCAGCAGCCGCAGGACCAGGATCAGGATCAGCTATATAGACGAGTCTAAAGATCGGTCTTTGCCGAAGGACCCCCGAAAACGCTGGCCGCGTCCTGGAAACCTACCCGCGTTCGTTCTGTGCGGTCAGCCGGGCGGTTCGGACTAGAAAGCTTTTGGCTGCAGATCGGAGTCATGTCGAGTACTCGAGTGCATCGGACCGGGAAATGGTGACTGGAGGAACTTGGTGACTGTGAAACGGATTAAAGAATAAGAAGTGTGAAGGTGGCAGCTTCAATAGAAACGTTCTTAAAGAACGCCAGCCACTGCATATTGCAGGAAACTTGAAAGTTAGATTTGTATGCTGAAAATAATGAAACGAAATAAAAAATTTTGATTTTTTGACTTTTTGTTATATTATATTCTATAGATTAACACTCATTAAAAATTCAATCCATTTTACTGTATAGGTACCTACTTACTTAGAATATAGACATTTTATTTGGTACCATGTATTGTGGTAAAATCGTTACATTTGTTGTAGCGCTTTGATAAGTTAACTGCCTTGTATTTACTAAGTCACTTCTTATTGCCTTCAGTTTCACCGTCATTTTGTTCCTCCTCGATCATGTCACCATCTCTGCGGTTCCGAAACTCACTCGGCACACACACCTTGATCTGCAACCTGGCTTTCTCGTCCGATTTGCCTAGCCGCTTTCGCAAGCACAGAACAAACACGGGTGGGCCGGCTTCCAGCACACGCGTCAGCATTTCCAGTGCACGGTCCTTCAGCGTAGGCTAATCTTTAAGCTCGCCCTGCTGATCCTGATCCTCTGTCGGCGGCGGCGGCTGCTGCAGTAAGTGCCGCTGCATGCCATGTTTTATGTTTATCGCCGTCGAGCTCGCATCCTCCCACTCCGCCGGCTGATTCGCGTTCGGCCACATTGTTGTAGTACATTGCGTTAAGTCGTTTTCGAGGTCCCAACGAGAACGTTACCCGATCACCGCAAAGGCCCGTCGGCTTCAGCCACATGACGTCCTGGTCCGACAACCCGCCGCTATAGTCCTCTATTCGTCCTTGGTACAATATGTCTGGTTAAGCTCCTTTACGGTTCCATGGACATGATTTGTAACACAGCCAGCGTCCTTCCTCTCGTGTGCCCGGTTTCATAATGAATATCCGTAGTTCATTTTTACAACTTTGATATTTAAATAAACAAATATCATTACTATGGTCCAAGATATTATTATTTTATTCGATTGTAGCCAGATACTATATATAATCCATGTACGTGTATTTATGCCATATTAGTACTTACCTCATAAGTTTTAACTTTTAACTAAAATCTGCAAATAATCAATAAAATAATGAACAATGGATATAGATTACCGGTATAAGCTCAACTGAAGGGGGCTGTAGTATTTCTGCTGTAATGGCTATGCCCTCTAAAAAATTACCCCTTAAAAAAATTATTCTCTAAACTCACATAATATTTAACCTAAATAAATAAACAAAAATTTGGATTTACTTATTTATTTTCATTACCTATAGTTACAAGATTATAAAGATTACTCGTGAAGTGATTTTATAACATATTATATTATTATGAGTACACACTCCAACAAGCATAATATTGTATCACTTAAAAAGTATGGTACAGCCACAAAATCACCCCCCCCCCTCATATAAGTGCGAATTGCGCCACTAAATATATAGGTTATTAATTATGAAATACAAATAAAATTATTGTGTATACAAATATAAAACGAATATAAAACGGTGGTGACAAATCAATACAACGAGCATAACTTTATCGGACGGGCCACCACAATTCTATATAGCATACTATTATTAAATAGTACCTATAAATATAGAAAAAAATACCAAATTCAAGTTTAGAAATTAGAATATAGGTATTCGTTTGCGATTGCTTAATGCTTATTCCACCAGAAATACCGTTTGGACGAATAAGTATGAATAGGTCTATTAACGAATTGATTTATATACCACTGTATTGTAATGTATTGTTTCAATTGAAAAATAAAACAATAAAATAAAATCACATACAATAACTATAATACATGATCAGGAGTCCTTATATTATATGGAAAAAAATGTTTAATTAGGTATGAAAGTTTAATTAAATATAAACTAGTTATATTATAACACAGGTAATTAAAATAACTCAATAGACATATGTTACAGATATTATATAACACAGTTTAAACATGATTAAATAAAATAAGTTTGTTTAATGTATGCCTTAGGGATGACTTTGAACTATGTTTTTGTTGTTTCAATTGTTTACATTGTGTATGCACTCAAGTGCAGAAAATATATTAATAGTTAATTTTCTCTTGTTAATAAATATGATGCTAAATTTGTATAGCTCAAAATATTAATCACATATTATGTACATTTGTATCAAATGATCAATGTGTAAAATCAATAATACTATTTAACTCTTTATACTAACTTGTGAAATGAGAAGTCTTTTCTAACATCACTCGAGCTAGCACAGTTGAAACCACTACAACACAAATTCACCTTTTTAAAATCTTATATACCCACTATTTTAATTTTTTTAAGTTTGAGTTTAAAACATAAAACAAAATGTTAAAAACAACAATATTATTCAAAATTTATTGGTGAAGAATCATAATTCTCATAAGTACGTGTGATAAAAAGAGACGGCGACACCATTCATATCTGCTGTCTTTTTATAACACACTATCTCGGTTATGTTTACATTGATCTTAAGGCTGGTGAAAATTTTAGTTATCATATAAAGTTCAATGGTTATAACGTGATATATCAATACATAATTTGTACATAATCAAATTTTCAAATTTATATTATTCAAAATCATTTTAATTAATTAATTATTAATAAAAAAAAACACATAATAATACATACATACACTTAACAATTATAAATCCTAAATAGTTGTATAAGAAATATCATAAATTCAATTTATCTGGGTTTTCCCTATTTTTTTTTAGATATTTTAGGTAAACAGACCTCATTTTCATCTTCTAAACTTTCATTAATTCTCCTTTTCACTTCTTCATTAATTTCACTTTTTTCTTTTTGATTAATTTTTGCATCAATAGAAACCTTCACTTATTTTAATAGTTTCCTTTTCTTCCAACACACTTAGTTCTTTTCTCTTCTCCCTCTCTACTGTTTCAATAAATTTTCCCTTAATCTTTCCCACTTCACATTCACTTCTTTCTCATATCATTTTTATCAGGTAATGTAGAAAGTCCATTTGCCACTTTATTATCATTACTTTTAATATGCCCCACTTGATAATCAGACTCTGACAGATATAATGCCCATCATTAAATTCTCCAAGAGGCCATGACGGGAATACCTTTATATTCTCCAAATAATGCTAACGAGGGTTTATAGACAGTCTCTAACATAGATAATAAAGATATGGATAGGCTTGCTAGCTTCAGAACCACTATAACATAGATTTATAGCTTCAAACTTTTTAAGATTCTCTATAAATGTTTTAATGTCTTTTACCACATCCATACCAGGTTCTATAATTTCAATTAATAAAATTAAATCTTCTAGTAACGATGACTAGACTAGACTGATTATACAAGAAATCAGGTAAGGATGGATAGTTTCCAGATCTATACACAATATTTAACGCAGATATCACTGGAAATGTTGGAACGACAAATATTTAACCCAACTTGAAATAAATTAAAAAAAGCTTGTCAGATGAAGGTCCCACTTTAAACGTCGGTACTGTGGTATTAATAAAATAAGATAATATTACTCCCTAGTCATGGTCTTTGGGTCATATATAGTCCGTGTATAAAAGGATGACGACGGTCTTGTACGGGAAATATTAACAAAACCGGGAAAATGTAAACATGCGAGTTTATATTCTATAATATCTATGTTTAGTAAAACATACGATAACTAATATAATAAATAATATTTGGTCGAATATTGTCACAAGGTTTTTAAGCCATGGAAGTGTCTGTCAATCGTCATCGGTTAACATACAATTATAAATATCAGGGCAAAATGTATCCAATGGTATTTATTTTGCACAACTTTATTTTTCAAATTTAATTCGTTAGTAACGTCGACAAATCTTCTCACGATGATGAATGATACAAAATTATCTATTTTTTATTTTATATATTTTAAGTAGGTACATTTAATGCATATTATTGCATATTTGAATATTAACACGAAAATGCATGTAAGACATATTATGATGCATTGAAACAAAAGGAGTGAAAAAAGCTAGATGACACTAAAAATCTAAATGTCATAAAATATAAAATTTTAGCAGTGACAGAAATAACATAAAAATACTATCGAATTTCTTAAAAGTAAGAATAATAAAAAAGATGAGTCTTATATAAAAAGTAACTTTATCCAATTTATTTAAAATTTATAAAAATATGCATTATTTTCACTTAATGATAGTTAAGAAATATTAGTTAATTCACAGTTTATTTTATTATATTTTTATTGCAAATTACAACAAAATAAAATGCATATTTCAATGCATTTTTGTATATATATAAACCAATTATTATTAATACCTATCTAAAAATTCTTAAGAAAGACACACCTTATAATATGTATTACAATAACATGAACAAAGTTTTTCCTTCGCGAGAATACACATGTAGTTGTGCATTTTATTCAATGATTGTCTGTAAATTACTATGATCAATGATTTTCAAAATGGTGTGAATGATATTACAAATGCGGTCACTGATATTGAATATTTTATTTTTGAAGTTTGAATCTGATATCTTGTTTGCAGATTTTATAGAGATAAGAATATCAAATGTAGGTACCTACAATTTCAAGAGAAGATTTATCAAAGTTGTACAATGTAAAGTGCCTTAATAGGTACTAACATATTGATGTCTAAGAAACAAAGGAATGTAACGTACTTTTCCTTAATAATATTTTTTCAGCCTAAAGACCATCACAATAATAGTTATTAGTTAATATGTTTATATGTGTCTTCGTTTCACATATACAACTTTGTATTTTAGAAAACCTACTATCACAGATATAGCATACCTTCTCCAGTATGTTTTCTTGTGTGGCGTCTTAAATTTGATTTGTGATTAAACTGTTTATAACAAATATCACATACATACGGCTTTTCACCTGTATGTATCCTTATATGTATTTTTAAGTAAGTTGTAGTAGAAAACCGTTTATGACAGAAAGCACATGCATACGGCTTTTCACCAGTATGTATCCTCGAATGTTTGGTTAAACTTGATTTCTGAGAAAACCGGTTACAACAGATAGCACATGTATACGGCTTTTCTCCAGTATGCATCCTTGTATGTCTAATTAATTTTGATGGATAAGGAAACAGTTTATCACAGACATTACATTTGTGCTCTTTTTTTGTGTTGTGTTTCTTTGTAACAGTTACATTGGATGTTGTAGAAATGTTTTTATTACAGTTATGGATCAATGGATTTTCCCTTAAGCAGTTATATGTCTTCATACGAGTCAGCAGTAATCCTGAAGACTTGCTATCGTTGGAGACTGTTCCTTTAATTTCCGATCCGTCAATAAAATTTACTTTTACTAATTCAACTATAGTTCTAAAAAAATAAATTAAAGTATTTTTAAATGTTTAAACTTAATCAAATAAACGAAAAAAAAATATAACTAAGCATTGTGTAGATTTAATAATAAATTTGAAGATTTATTTTTATAGATCATATATTTATTTGTATATTCAAAAAAACATATCAAACAAACATATGGACTAAAACTTAAATATTTAAATATTTATTTTATATCTATCAGATTTATTTAAATATATTGCATACAATTTAAAAATATAAATATAAAATAACAATATTTAAATTTACATAGTTAAGGGTTTAAATTAAAATCGTACTTTCTCATAAGTTTATCATTTTACAACCATATTAAATAGATTCTTTTTTTTATATAAATTTAATGAAAGGTCCAATTCAGGCAAAAGTAGGTAATATATAAAAGAAAATTAATATCAGTTATTTTGTTGAAACAATATTGTGGGTACTTCCTTGAAACATATAAAGTATTTTATCATATTTTATAAACACTATGAAATTTTCAAATTCAAAGTTTTTGACAAAAATAAATAAAACCTACTGTTGTACAAAGAGGCAAATCGCAAAAACATCACAAAATAAATATCAAAAATAAAAGCCGACGGAATGTCAGATGTCTCGATTATGTACAATGAATTTTTATTTCAATCAATTCAAATTAAGCATAAACATTATATTGACCCACATGCCACTTTATGCATTATAGAGCGAGACCCATTGCCAAAAATTTTTATTTATTAATTTTCAGAAATTATCTCTAAGCCACATAATATTTAAAAATAAAT